ACAAGTGTCTCAGTGAACTGATTATGAACGAATATTTGTTATATATTGAACACAAGTTCATAGAGTTGAATATTCAGTCGGATTCAAACATGATTTCAAATCAACTGAATTCAGATTCAGTCTGGTCCAGTCAGAGGTGAAGAAGCTCCATCATGGCTCCAGATCTCCAGACGTCAGTAGAATTATTGGAGCTGATTAAACTGCTGGAGGTGACAGCAGATGGGATCCAAAGCCACACCTAATACTGAACCTTAACTTCACTCCTCCTCCTCCTCCTCCTCCTCCTCCTCCTTCTTCCTCCCAGCGGCGGCAGCAGCTCCAACAGTTCAGGCGAACCTTCACATGAGCAGCACCGAACCAGAACCCTGCGCCTTTTTTCCTCTCTTCAGGTGATTAATAATTTCTTGGTGCACCATGAAGCACTTCTCTCCTGACGCCCTGCTGCTGTCTTTCGCGCACGTTTTCTTCTTCTGCACCTTCCTGGACGGTTTGCGCGCTCAGGAGGCCGCCGGGGACGAGGATGCGCTCCGGCGCGGGTTGACATGGCAACACAACGGGCAGGTCTTCAGCATCCTGAGCCGCAGCGCGCAGTACCGGCCGTCGGCGCGGAGGCACGCCGGGTCGCCCCGCCGCGGGGACCCCGTGGTGGTCCTGAGCAGCGCCAACGACACGGTCCCCGCCGCGTCCCGCAGCTCCCCGCGCGTCCCCGCCGCCAGCAGCTCCGCGCAATTACGCGCCGCGGCCCGTCAGCAGCACCAGCAGCAGCCCGGTGACGGCGGTTCCGACCCGGTCCGACAGGAGGACGGGATGGTGGGAGACGACCCGTACAACCCGTACAAGTCCTCCAACTACTACCCCTACTACAACTACTACAACTCGTACTTCAGACCCAGACCCAGGACTCAGACCCAGAACGGATACGGAACCTCCTACCACCAGAACGGTACCGAACCCCTCCGCTGACCCTCTTTACCACCATTTGCTTCATTTTTAATGATCTCTGGCCTTCATGTGAGCTCATCATAAAGTTATTAAACATGAGCCTTAACTTCTGTATGAAATAATCTCATCTAAGTCTTCTGCTCAACAAAGCACTGGTTTTATATTTTATCCTCTTTTATCTATAAAAAATGAATGAAAGTCTGCATCATGAAGGTTAAATGTGCGTTTAATGGGCTCGGTGCTGCTCAGTCATCTCCTTAATGTGGACATAACTGAAGACAGATGTTCAGTTTCTGTGTCTGGGATCCTTCAGAGGAGCTTATTTACATTTTCATCACCTGTAAAGTCAAAGAAAACCGCAGCTGCTCATGTTCAGCTGCACTTTAAAGGAGGATTCCACCAGATTTAAGCCTCATGTTCTTCCTCCACAGAGTCTCAGGGATCACTGACTGGTTTAGGGTGAAACCAGGAGGCCGGTTTAAACAGGCCACGCCCCCCAGTCTGTGATGTCACGATGATTGACAGCTAGGTGGAGGCGGAGCTTCCTGTCAGGTTCAACTCAGGGCAAACATGTCCAAAGTTTGAAACGATTCTCTTTGGTTCTGGCCCACTTTACCAAAAATAATCAGTAGCTGCGTCTCTTACAATATGTTAGTTTGCATAGATGTTTTTATAACTCATTAAATGATGATTGTTACAGCCGACAGTTCCCACTCTGACCTGTAGGGGGCTCCTGCAGCTTAGATTAGGCTTCGTCGGTCTCGTGCATGAACGTTTTAGGTTCCGGTTGTCTGCAGCACAAATCAGCCGAGGCCTGAGTTTGAGTCCGTTTTCTTTTAGTTTAGTCTCGTTTTGACTTTTGCTCGTATTCGCCTGTTTTCACTTTGTTTACTTGTTTTTAGTTTAATTTATTCGAGGCGCTGAAACTTCCTGGTTGGGTTCAGACGGAAGAACTTTCTTCCAGGTGACTTCAGAGTCTCCACATGTCTTCTGGTGAACTCTAGTCCAGATTTAATCTGAGCTTCTTCCACCAGAGTCTTTGTCTTTGTCTCCCATAAAGCTCTGATGGTGAAGAACAGACACTAGTTGTTGTATGAACAGTCTCTCCATCTCAGAGCATTTTGTTTATGTATTTAAGGTTAAGCAACATAACTAGTTGGTTATAAAAGCATCTCGGTTTGGGTTTAGTCCATTTAGTGGTTTCCATGGTGACGACTCCTCTGGAGATTTTAAACAAACTCATTCACTCGACCACAAGAGGGCGCCGTCGTTACCGTGGTTGCTTTCTGGTAATGAGCTCAGTGGAGGAGGCCTTCACCGGCCCACATGATGGAATCATCTGCAGCAACGTTTACGTGAACGATAACGTCCAGCGTTTTAAATATCGCATCAGACAAAGTTAGTGAAAATGGAAACATTCGAGGAAACGTTTCTCAGTCTAGCAAAAGAGCTTTTACACTCACTTGAGGTGTTTTTTTCTTTACAAAGGTGGAAGACGGATGAAACACTTTTTCTGAATAAAGCCCCGTTTGCACATCGCAAAAACAATGACATTTCAACGCCTTTGGTTTACACGAAGCTACAAATCACCAATAATGATCATATCTGAAAACTCTGGCCACTGTGGAAATTTGGAAAAACTCCGTCTTTATGTTTGCATGTCGACAGGAGGAGGTGGAGTTTGACGTCGCAGTATGTGACAAAATCGTCATCATCGTCATATGTGTGCGACCATGTTTACAGTTTGGTTACTGTGATAGAAAGTCAATGTTTTGAAGTATTTCACTTGTTTTGTACTCTAACACCACATTTAGGAGTAGCTCCACTTCTCTGTCAGACTCTCGCACCGCTATCGATGAAGTAACAGGAATTCTGATTGGCTAGCATGGCTTTATGCTGCTCGTTACACTGCCCCCTATAGGTCTGGCAGCTCATAGCAGCTCTTATTTTGATGCGGGTTTGTGTAGATGGAGATGTTTTTGAAAACGTAGACTTGATTTTTGTGAATGCCAGCTACGTGTAAAAGTGTCCTGAGTTGTGAACCTTCACTCAGGACTGATCAGCTGCTAATCGTCTCTAAACAACATGAAACATGAAGATTAATCACAACCCTCCGTATTGAAACAGCTGCTAAGGACTCCTCTCTGGCAGATGGACCAAGTTTTGTTCCTTTTTTCTTTGTCTTTACTTTTTTAGCGGATGGCAAACAGCTTCTTCTTCTCCTCTGTTTATTGTAGCTGTGTAGCTCGTGGCTACTGTTCACACCAAAGCAGTTCATGGACACAAGACCGACTTTAAAACTTTTTTTACAATATTTTAAAAGTTTGTTTCAAATTTGCTTTGCAGCTACGTGGAAGTACAGCGACTGGCTCTTATGTTGGTTGTTTTATTGATTTATCGTCCAAGCTGAGGCTAAATCAGGTCACTGTCATAAGTAAATAAATAAGAAGTGATTTTATTGTCTCTCTCTGACCTCACAGACGTCTGCCTCCCTGAGCCTGGTTCTGCTGAAGGGTTCTTCCTTTGAAATGGAGTTGTTCCTTTTTCATCCACTCAATGGGAATAATTTGGATGAATTGTGTTCTTTCTCTATCATATATCACAGTACGGTGCTGGTCCTGTGATGTAAAGTTCCCTGACATGAGGTTTGATGACTGAAGTTAACTTGTGGTCACAAAACTCTGGGTTCTGACACAACAAGCCGACTTTATTGAAACACAGCCAGTTTAGTTTTAAATCTTCTTCAAAAAATTTCATCTGGACACGACATGAACATCAGATTGAACAGTTTTGAATCGGATGTGCAGCTGGAGAACGTTTCCTCCTCCAGAGATCAGTTGTTCCTCCTCTACATACGAGAACAGTGGATCTGAAGCTGCTCTGAAACGGCTCCAAGTGACTTTCTGACTGGTTCTAGTCACTGATGTTCTTCTCCAGATCTTTGTTGAGCTCCTCAAACTTTCTCACTGTAGAGTTTGAGTCTAATGAGTGGATCAGATGGTTCTGTTGAAACTGGATCAGAGGATTCAGGAGACGTTAGGAGGACATGGAACTAAGAACATTAGATTAATACAGCTTTAGATCAAACCGATCATTCAAGTTGCTGTTTGTATGTTTATGAACCAGCAGGTTTAGTCAGATTCCCAGAAGACCTTTAATGAATCAGATTCAGAGTCATTGGAAACTCAACGCTGTCATGATGTTCACGGTCTGTCAAAGTGCATGTAAGCTTCTGTTCACGACTGTAGATCTTCACCTGAACCCGTCCTGTTCTGGTCTCAGGTCTCCCTGATCTGGTTCCGGATCCGTACTACATCCAGATCGCCTCCTACGTCCAGAGGATGCCCATGTACAACCTGCGCTGTGCTGCCGAGGAGAACTGCCTCGCCACGTAACGCAACACCAAATCATAATAAACAAAAATAATAATAAAAACAAAATAAGTTAACAAATATATACAAGAATTTATGAGATCTGTTTGTCCGATTACCAGCAGAAAGCAGCTCCATCCTATTTAAAAACATCCCCGATGGGAGTAAACGTCTCTGTTCAATATGTGTTGATCAGTTTTGTTTTTCTCGTGGTTTTATTAAATCTGTTAACGTGAAGCCTCTTCCTGCTGCAGCTCGTCTCGTTACGCTCAGGACTACGACACCAGAGTTCTGCTGAGGTTTCCTCAGAGGGTGAAGAACCAGGGAACCGCCGACTTCCTGCCCAGCAAACCTCGATACGCCTGGGAGTGGCACAGCTGTCACAAGTAACCGAGTACTTTTACTCCACTACTGTTTTTCAGCACCATGTTGAGTAGCTGAACTTCTAGTTTTGCTGCTTCAAACTTTAAAGGCATCACATTTCACACAGAAATACACTGTAAAAAATAAGAAATACTGTTTTAAAATTAAAAGCTGTAAAAAATCTGCAAGTAAGGCTCCCAGAAAGAGTAAAGAATACTGTACCACGCGAAAACAGTGAAAATAACAGTAAATATCTATAAAATAATCGTATTCTTTGCAGACTTACATACAATAAAACTATAATTTTATGGTCACCCATTGGAAAAGAATGAATTACAATTTGTTAGAAAATTCAACTCAATATTATCTGTTATTCAACAAAATGAGGAAGTTTGTAAAATAACAGCAAATTGTTACAAATGATTAAATAATTTGTATATATTCTATAATATACAGAACTGCAAAATCCATTTAATAAAAATGTAAATATTTGCCAATTTTCCATCATTTTTCTTTCAAATATAGCAAATATCTGTGAAATAATGTTATTTTTTGCTCAATTAATAACAAAAAATATGTGTAATTTTATGATCAAACATTGCAAAGAACAAATTAGTTAAAAAGAACTTTTGATGTGGACTTTATTTACAGTTTTAGCCTGTTTGTTTTAGGGTTAGCCAAAAGAAGAAGAAGAAACCAGTGGAACACTAAAAAGAGACACCGTGTTAACAGAGTATAGAAGGCAAATGAAAGGGGCCCTAAAACGGAGCCCTGAGGTACACCGCAATAAACTACTGTAAGAACACAGACAAATTCTAACAGTCATGTAGATTTTTTCCCCAATAATATAATTAAAAACTATAAAATCTGAACACAAGAATAACCGTTAACAGCAGACTACTGTAAAACGGTGTAAATTAAATTTAAAATGTTTGAAAAGCTGCTTTTGTTGACATCAAGTTAAACTGTTTTCACTGTCTCTAAAATACCTTTAATAGACTACAGTTTGTCAAACATCACTGGCCCTGATCCATGAACATGTAACTTGCCTCGTCTTTACCCTTTACAGTGTTGAATATGTTTTAGTTGTTGATGCATTTTTAAATGTGGTAATTTACAGACAACTAAAGTTAATGTTGATTAAAGTGGCAACACTATATAAATACAGTATATTGGTGTAAAATCTGGTAACAGAATTGACCAGAAAACTTCATATTGTTTTGTAGAATGCAGCATTTTAGTTGGTTAGGAACAAAAACTACCAGCTTAAGTTTTAGCAACCAAACTAATTGGTTAAGTTTAGGGAGCAACACTACTTGCGTTTTGAACCTGTTGTAGTTTATCTGGAGATTCTTCTTTCTTGTTGTTGTCTTTGTGGTTCAGTCACTTCCACAGCATGGACGAGTTCAGCCTCTACGAGCTGCTGGAGGTTCACACTCAGAGGCAGGTAGCTGAAGGCCACANTTTTTTACTTTATTGTATATTTTCTTTGTCCTTCTTGTTTCACTCTCAGTCCATATGTCATTCGTTTTTTGTTTTTTGCCTCAGTTTCTTTCTTTAATTTTACCTTTCTTTCTTCCTTCCTTCCCTCCTTCCTTCCTTCCTTCCTTCCTTCCTTCCTTCCTTCCTTCCTTCCTTCCTTCCAGTTCCTCTCCAGTCTGCCCAGCAGGTGTCGCTGGAGCCTATTTCTGGCCTCTAGTAGACCTTCAGTCTACTGTACCTCCTCCAGTCTACTGTACCTCCTCCAGTCTACTGTACCTCCTCCGGTTTACTGTACCTCCTCCGGTCTACTGTACCTCCTCTAGTCTACTGCACCTCCTCCAGTCTACTGTACGTCCTTTGGCCTACTGTACCTCCTCCAGTCTACCGTACCTCCTCCAATCTACTGTACCTCCTCCAGTCTACCGTACCTCCTCCGGTCTACTGTACCTCCTCCGGTCTACCGTACCTCCTCCAGTCTAGTGTACCTCCTCCAGTCTACCGTACCTCCTCCGGTCTACCGTACCTCCTCCCGTCTACCGTACCTCCTTCGGTCTACCGTACCTCCTTCGGTCTACCGTACCTCCTTCGGTCTACTGTACCTCCTCCAGTCTACTGTACCTCGTCTGGTCTACTATACCTCCTTCAGTCTACCGTACCTCCTCCGGTCTACCGTACCTCTTCCGGTCTACTGTACCTCCTTCAGTCTACCGTACCTCCTCCAGTCTACCGTACCTCCTCCAGTCTACCGTACCTCCTCCGGTCTACCGTGCCTCCTCCGGTCTACTGTACCTCGTCCAGTCTACCGTACCTCCTCCGGTCTACCGTACCTCCTCCAGTCTACCGTACCTCTTCTAGTCTACCGTACCTCCTCCGGTCTACCGTACCTCCTCCAGTCTAGTGTACCTCCTCCAGTCTACCGTACCTCCTCCAGTCTACTGTACCTCCTTCGGTCTACTGTACCTCCTCTGGTCTACTGTACCTCCTCCAGTCTACTGTGTCTCCTCCTCCAGTCTACTGTACCTCCTCCGGTCTACCGTACCTCCTCCGGTCTAGTGTACCTCCTCCAGTCTACTGTACCTCCTCCAGTCTACTGTACCTCCTCCAGTCTACCATACCTCCTATAGCCTACTGTACCTCCTCCGGTCTACTGTGTCTCCTCCNTTCACTTTGACTTAGACGTCTTTTTTTGTTTTATTGTACATTCTTGTCAAACAAAATTACAATGATGGTGATTCAATGTTAGTAAAGTTCATCTGCATCAGTTTATCGATCAGTAATCAATACTTCTGCTTGTCTTTGCTTCTCGCAGCTACTGAGACGAATCGTTCAACTTGAACCTGAAGATGAAGGCAGACAGAAGACTGGAGTTACAGTTTGTTCACATGTGACTTTAATAATTTGGTTAAAAAACATAATAAAGATAAAATCGCCTGCAGCAGAAGCCGTATTCAGATTTATATTCAGATTAGTGAAGGCGAGCTACTTCCTGACACATTTGATAAATTCATGTAGCAGGTGACGGTTTCTAAAGGACTGGGTCGAGTTATGCAGCAGAGATGGAAGAGAAAAAAAAAGCTCATTTATTCCATTTCTGGTTTCTGGTGCAGTTCTGGTGCTTCACATGAGTACTGTATGATGGTTTTTGTAGTTTTTACTTGCATACTGCTTCATTTATCTGACAGTTTCTTACATTAAACGCTAAATGTACCAAAAGAAGCTTCTTCTAACCATCAGCATATCAGATAAGAAGGTTTTTTAATTATTTTTGATAAGAAATCAGTACAGGGAAGTACATAACGCCTTTATTTCATATTTTTACAGCTTTTTTGTGTCACAAAATAACTATTTGAAGATGCAAATTTGATTTTGTCATAATTTTCTGACAGAGAGGCATCTGAAATACATGTTGTTGTTGCTGTTGTTGTTGTTTTATTGTTTTCTGATTCACGAACTGATAAAACCACTTTCATGCATGTTCTATTTGTGCTTTCATAAACAAATGTGATATAACTGATATTTTATCTGCAATGTTTTCAACTTTCTGGACATTTTTAGAGAAAATGGATGCAGCACGCTGTAAAAAAAAAAAACAAAAAAAAAAGTGTAAAATAACAGTTTAAAAAATGATTTACTGTTTTTCAATCTTTAATATACTTTTTTCATTTCAAATATCTGTAATAAATAATATTTCTGCTGATTTCAATACAGTAAAAAATTGTTTAATATTACTGTCAAACATTTTAAAGGAACAGTTCAAATACAGATTTGTATACAGATTTTCTAGATATTATCTGTAATTTTACAGAACAGGGAAAATTGTATATCTATATCTATATATTTACCATTTTTCAAGTGTTAATATACATATTTTTTCTTAAAAATAATGTCAAATTAAAGTGATTGTAAAAAAAAAAAAATGCGACAGAATGATAAGCAAAAAGAATAGTGGAATACTGTGACATTGAAATAAAAAACAACGTAAAAGTACATTTCATATAAAACTAAATTTAGTAAATACATATTAAAAATCTTTCAAAGAATGTCAAATAATTATATTTTTGCTGATTTNTAACCACAGTGCCCCAAGAGAAGAGCCAAATATGTTCTCAAATATCAATAAAAACTGAATTAAATAAGCACGTGAACGTTTACAATGCAGTGAACTGGGTTTTCCTGTGCAGGGTTTGAGTCCTGGTTGCTACGACACCTACAACGCCGACATCGACTGTCAGTGGATCGACATCACCGACGTCTCTCCTGGAAAATACATCCTCAAGGTCTGAGTCGCTGGGACAGTAAACACCTTGTATTTCCAGAGATAAGTTGGGTTTCATGAGATATTATTCTCCTTATTGCTCACTACTCGTACGACAACACTAATACCCATCAGAGCAGTCAGTGTGTAGAACGTGAACATGTTTCTTCTGTGCAGCTTTGATTAAAAACAACCAAATTATTTCAATAAAGTTTTATATTTGAGAGGTTTGAAACACATCTTCGTGACCTTCTGCTGTTTCGTTTCGCCGCCAGGTGACAGTAAACCCCAGGCAGCAGGTTCCAGAGTCCAACTTCAACAACAACGTGGTTCGATGTGACGTTCAGTACACCGGAACCTCTGCCCACGTCTCCGGATGCTCCATGACGGCGTAAGAAACCCCCTCACTTAGAATGTGTTCAAACTGAAGTGATGAAGCTCATTTAAAGGTCCAACAACTGTCCGATTTTCAGCTCAGCTTCAGCGTTGATTTGCAGTTTTTGCGATGTGAAGCTTCTGTATTCTCTGAACAGAAGCAGAACTTTACAGGCTGACAAATCTACAGATGCATTGTGGCCTTCGCTCTAAAAAGTACCTCAAGGAATCTGTTCCCGCCGTTTAATTACTGTAAATGTATGACCATGTGATTAAAAATCTAATTACTGATCTAGACAAACCTTTCAAGTTTCAAACAAAAGGCTCTATTTTGGGGTCCGTAACCTCAAGAGTCATGTGGTCAATGATGGCATAAGTTGCTATGTTTGATGGAAACCAAACACTGGACATGATGACAAACACTCTGTCCCCACTATGAAGCATGGGGGTGGCAGCATCATGGTGTGGGGGTGCTTATAAAAAATGTAAATTAAGTGATTGCATAAGTATTCTCCTTCCAGTCAGTGTTCAGTAGAGGAACCTTCAGCTCCATCATTGGTCCTGTTGGTCTCCATCAGCCTGAACATCTGGACGCTGCAGCTTCACCTCATTGTTCTGATGAAACTGTTCAGACTCTATCAGGTTCCACAGGGATCATGATGAACAGAACTTTAAGTCCAGACTCTAATTCTCAGCTGGATTGAGGTCTGGACTCTGACTGGGCCTCCAGAACTTCACCTTGTTGTCTTTAAACCTTCTCTGTGGAGCTTTGGCTGTTTGCTTCGTGCTTCACGTCATGATGCTGCCACCACCGTGCTTCATAGTGGGGACGGTGTGTTTGTGATGATGTTCATTGTTTGTTGTCCAGGCTGTTGGACAAAAAGCTCCATTTTGAGCCCTTCAGACCAGAGAACCTTCTTCCAGGTGACTTCAGAGTCTCCACATGTCTTCTGGTGAACTCCAGTCCAGATTTAATCTGAGCTTTGTCCAACAGAATCTTTCTCTTTGTCTCCCATAAAGCTTTGACAGTCTCTACCATCTCAGCTGCTGAAGCTGGAAACTCCTTCAGAGGAGTCATAGGAGTCTTGGTGTCCTCCCTTGACATTACTTTGTAGAAGTCTGTCTTCACTTTGACTTAGACGTCTTTTTTTGTTTTATTGTACATTCTTGTCAAACAAAATTACAATGATGGTGATTCAATGTTAGTAAAGTTCATCT